CCCCGGGGGCGCCCCCCCGCCCCTCCCCCACGCACAGCGGGGGCGGGTTGTTTGGCGCGCGCGCGCGCCGACCCATCTCATGGACTCCGCCTCCCGCCCCGCCGCGCGCTCCCGCCCCCGGGCTGAGGCGATTCGGAGTCGGAGCCCGACACAAAGGCGGTGGCGGCGGCGACAGCGGAGGGACCCTGGAGGCCGCTCCGCCCATGCACTGCGGGCTCACTTCACTCACCCCAGCCAGTGGCCCGGCTGCCCACCCGCGGGCCTAAGATGGCGGCGGCGAAAGAGACCGACCGAGCGGCAGCCCCGAGCGGGACGCGCCGGAGGGAACTCCGCAGCCCGGCTTCGGACTCCCGGACCTTGGCGCGGCTCACAGCGAGACCTTGGCTTCCTGGGGCTCTTACCTGCCTGAAGCGGACCCGAGCGAATGCGGCTACACGTTCTGCTCCACCGCCCGTTTTGCCGCCTCCGCCTCGCCCTCCCCAGCGCCGCTGCCGCCATCTTGTGTCCCGGGCCGGGACTCTGCGCTGCGCATGCGTTAGTACCGCCTCTGAGGGACCGCGCCACGGCCGCTCCGCCATCTTGAGTGTGGCAGAGTTGGCTGACTCCCCAGACCTTGATTGCTTTCGGCCCCCTCCCCATCGCCCGGTCCTTCCGCGCTGTCCCGTGTGGTCCTGAGGACGGGGAAAACAGCTTTGCTGTTACTGGGGTGTGGACGGGGAGGAGTGAGGCCAGGCGCACGCCCCTGCCTCAGTTTCCCCTCCAAACATACCCACGGGGGCCGGAGGACCTTTTTCGGCATGGTGCAGGCTGGAAATCTGGGGGCTCTGGCTCAATTGCCAAAGCGGAGGCGGGGTCCCGGTGACGTCGGCTATGGACGTTGTGGACACAGGGTCCTAGCCTCCGCTGGACTCTGCTGGTTCCAGCCAGTCTGTCGCCCTCTCAGGCCCTGGAATGTTTTCTGTCCTTACTCGGTAACCAGATGACACGAGTCGAATTTTGTCCCATTAGCAGGTTTACAAGTTAACTCGAGAAGGATCCCAGCTGTGGGCGGAGTTGCGGGTACAGGCTATAAAGATGGCTTTGGGCGTTTGGACTGTTCTAAGAAGAGGCCGCGTAGGAGCTTTCCACACTGACATACTGCATACAATCCTTAAGCCTCATTGAGAAGCTGAGGTTGTGTAGTTCAGGTGTAGACTGCCTGCCCAGCTTGAGCATGACTGGGTTCTACTCCGGCACTGCAGAAAAAAAAAACCACGTGGGCTACACAATTTAACGTAGCCTAGGACGTAGTTGCCAAATGTCCCTTGCCCGGTTCCCTTCCGGCATTATAGACTAGTAGCTCCACCCACTTGTGGCTTCTTAAAAAGCGGATCGGCCAGCTTGAAAGGAGAAGAATGCCACCTGCTGTTGAACTGGTGCTGCATATACCGCTGGTTGCCTGCAGCTTGGAGGCAGGATGAAGGGAGGTCAGGAAAAATGGGAGGTACACAGCACAGCTAGTAAGATCTGGGGATCTTTGGTTTCACACTCCTGCCCCTGTACCGCGGGTGTAACCTTTCCTAAATGGATGATAAATCCGCTCACCTCCATTGAGTGAGAATCAGCTGAGGTGATGCGGGTAATGTGCGCAGCACAGGTCCTGTACTTGAAAAGTACTTAAGGCTATAAGCAGCTCACGTGTTTCAACGATTAAGTAGATTTGGATCCTCCAGAAATGAGCAAGCCAGCCCTGCATAAACAGCTGGTGTGGAGCAGGTGGAAGGCTGGATTGGAAGCCAGATGTCTGGCCCTATTGAAACGCTGATGGAGGACCACAGCTGTGCTTTAGGACAGTCTTAGTGCGTGCCTGTTGTCCTGGCATGATGATCATACTGCATTTCTCAAAAGTGCCCTGGTTTGGACCATAAGTTACTCAGTTACTCTAGACCAAGAGTGTGCTAAGCCTACCAGATGACTGCAGTTAAGGGTGCTTGACACCATGACTGAGGACCTGAGTTTAATTTCCAGGGCCCACATGGTGGAAGAGAACTGACTTTTTGGAACTTGTACCCTGGCCAGTACATACGCGCTATGGTTTTCTTTCTCACAGTAAATGTAATTATTTTGTTGTCTTTTTGAGACTGGGGCTCCCTGTAGCCTCAGCTGGCCTGGAACTCACAGAAATCTGCCTGCCTCCGCCTCCCGAGTGCTGGAATTAAAGGCTTGTGCTACCATGCCCAGGTACTAAATGTAATTTTTAAAAACTGACTTCCTGCACTTGGGAGGGAGAGGCAGGTGGATCTCTGAGTTCAGGGCCAGCCTGGTCTACATAGCGAGGTCCAGGTCAGCTCGAGCTACAGGGAGACTCTCAAAAAGACCAAAAAAAAATTTCTGTGTATGTGTTTGCATGTTTGTACTGTGGTACTTGTGCCTGCAGAGGTCTGAGGACAACTTTTTGGGGAGTCAGTTTTCCAACCTTGTTTTGAGGCAGGGTCTCACCATGTAGTTCTGGATAGCCTAGAACTAAATGTGTAGACCAGACTGGCTTGGAACTCACAGAGATCCACCTGCCTCTGTGGTGCAGAAAGTAAAAGTGTCATCCTGCCTTTGTTATTTCTGTCTCTGTGCTGCCTACTAGAGTGCCCTTCTGGCTAATTCGCCTGTCTTGCCATAGGCATGCTGGGATTACAGAAGTAAGACACACCAACCAGCTTCTATACATTTTTCCTGGGATGAAACTTGGGTCATCAGGCTTGCTCAGGAAGTGCTTTACCACTGAGGTATCTCCCTGGCTCCCTTTGTATGTTTATTTCCTCCTGCTTGCTTTCCATGTAGAGTTAAACTTCATCTTCATTTCTACTACCTTAGAATAAACCTCATTACTTTAAAACCTTTCTGATGTTAAGAATAGGAAGTGTGCCAGGCATGGTGACTAACGCCTTTAATGCCTTTAATCCCAGCACTCTGGAGGCAGAGGCAGGCGGATCTCTTTGAGTTCGAGGCCACCCTGGTCTACAAGTGAGTTCTAGGAGCAGGGGCTACAGGGAAACCCTGCCTCAAAAAGACCAAAAAAAAAAGCAAAACAAAATAGTGTGATGGGGGCTGGAAAGATGCTCCAGTAGGTCAAGGTACTTGTTGCCAAGCATGAGGATTTGATCTCTGTGCCCCATGTTGTAGAAGCAGAGAACCATTTCCCACAAGTTGCCTTCTGATCTTTACATGCATGCTATGGCATGAGTGTGCACACAAACGCACAAAATTAAATGTTAAAAAAAATTGCCAGGTATGATGGCACATGCTTTTAGTCCCAGCACTTGGGAGGCAGAGACAGGCAGAGCTCTGTGAGATTAAGAGCAGCTGGTCTACATAGTGAGTTCCAGGCCTGCTGGGCCTACAGGGAGGTCCTGTCTTTTTTTTTTTTTTTTTTTTTTTTTTTTTTCTTAAGTGCTTATGTTTGAGGCCAGGCTGGGCTTCAGATTTTTAGATTCAACCCTGTCTTACCTCCCTGTTGTGTGACACTATTCCTGGGGAGACATGAACAAATGACTAATCTCAGACAGAGAGCCAGTAACAGACAAAAGAATGCCACCAGAGTCCAACTTAGTGAACCAATGAGTTTTACTAGGGTTATTTACAGGAGTTGAGTGAGCAGAAGTGACTCCACAGCTGCATCACCAAAACCCATCCCAACTTGGGTGACAGCTTGCAAAGGCTGGATACATGGAGTGTATTTACAGGCAGCCCAACAGGTTGGGGAGTGTCTCATCAAGCAACTCAGCTGGTCTAAGCCTCTTCTAGGCAACTCAGCTTGTCTGAGAGTATCTCTTAGCAGTCCTTAGGGCTTAAATATACTTGGAGAGGTGAGGGGCCAAGTGTATCTGGTCAGTTTCAGGAACTTCCTGACCTTAAGCTGTTCTGCAGGATGGAATGTTTCCCTTCCCTTTAGAATATCCTGTGTCATAAGAATTTTTCTCTAAGATGGAAGGTTTTATCTGGAGGAAAGTGCTACACAACACTCCACCCCTTCCTCCAGCTCTTGCATTCTTTCCTCTTTTGCAGTGGTCCCCAAGCCTTGGAGGGAGTGACATACAATTCTGGCTGTGGTTCATAACTAGGCAGGGTTTTGAACCTTTGTGCCTATCACTGTTTCCAGTGTGTGGTTGGTGGCAAGTCTTGGTAGTGGTTTTGTTGTGCTACAAAACACAAGTGAGGAAAAAACAGTAAAAATATCCAGACAGATGCTGACAGCACTAGTAACATATAGTCATAAACATGCTGGGAAGCATCTTAGCCAATATATTTATTTACCAAAGCAATAGCAGTTGTTTCTCTACTGGAGCCTGTAACTTCCCTGGTCATAGGTTCTGTCAAAGCTCCCAGTATCAGATGTAAATTATCTGTGGAGCAGGCCTTAATTCCAATCAGAAAATTGGTTCTAGCCATAGGCATTTGTGCCACTATTGCACTAACTGACACATCATCATGAAGCATGCCGAATCCACAGTTGAGTAGAACCTTGGGCCATCCTCCCCAGCATCCTTAGTAGCACCTTCCAGCACTACAAAAGCTAGACGACATTTCCAGCCCAGCCCTAGTCTTATTTCTCCAAGTCCTGTATCTAAAGCATGTGATATCTTTAGTGATAGGGTCTTGCCATCCAGTTTTGGGGAGCAACCAACAGCAATAGTAATAGCCTTTGTGGTTTGAGGGGTCTCAAGGGCTTCCATGGCCAACCCTAGGGAGGTAACCCACCCCTAGCACTGGAATTCTCAAAGTATCTGTTTCTAGTTTTACAAGTGCCCTTTTTCACTCTGTTGTATTTATAGGCCCAGGTTGTTGCAGAATTTTTCCAGTCACCTTGTGGGTATCAGTGATGCCTTATATAACCATACAGCAACCAAGAATTTCACAGCTGCCCCTGCCTGTACCCTCTGAACAGATTTCTCATCCTTAAGGTACACTGGTGTTCTCTCAAATGGGTCTCTAAATCTGCCAAACAAACCTTAGCATTATGTTGTCTATAAATAGTGAAACCTTTTTACAGAGCATGGTCTGGACAACAATGTAAAGTCCTGGACCATCACCCCATAAGGAATAATGGGTTATAAAGATAACCTTGGTGAAACACTGACATTCATTCTCATCTGTTCAGAGAAAGAGTCAGGTGATCTCAGAAGTCACAACTAAAGATGCTAAACAATTAGCAAGGTCTAATACAACATGAAAATATTTAATTCATTGGTGTCAATTGGAATGTTTCCCTTCCCTTTTATGGGTCCTCTGTTCATTTCCTTCACCCCTGATAAACTTGGTAGGACTGGCTCTAGCTGCTTAGTCTAACCTAGGGTCAGTTCAGGAATAGACACCCACCCCTTCAGTTATACCTGCCTCCTGTCTAGGAGGTACCCAGGACAGAAATGTACAGTTTACTCAGGGAAACTGCCTACCCCTCAGTTAAGCCCATTAACCTATACTATTTTATATTTATGTTCATAGACTGATGTTTATTGCATTGGATACTCCTGGGGGCCATCAGGAGTTTGTTTTGTTTTTCTTTTGTTTTGAGACAGGATCTCACTATGTATCCCAGGCTAGCCTTGAACTCCCAAATACTTTTGTTGTTGTTCTTTTTGAGACAGGGTCTCCCTGTAGCCCCAGCTGGCCTGGAACTCACTATGTAGACCAGGATGACTTGAACTCACAGAGATCCACCTGCCTCTGCCTCCCAAGTGCTGGGATTTGGCCTGAACTCCCAAATACTTTTTTTTTTTTTTTTTTGAGTCAAAATGTGTTTATTACAGAACAGGATCTTACAGTAAGCAAGGCAACATTAGATCAACCATTTCAGATTATTTTTAATTACATATAGCTTTAAAACTGTAATAAAGAAGGCTGGGCGTGGTGGCACACACCTTTAATCCCAGCACTCCAAGGGCAGAGGCAGGCGGATCTCTGTGAGTTCAAAGGCAGCCTGGTCTGCATAGTGAGTTCCAGGACAGCAGGTGCTACAGGGAGACCCTGTCTCAAAAAGACCAAAAAAAAAAAAACCTGTAATAAAGATACTTTTAACATTGATAGAAGATCAATAAATTCATCATTTAACATGGGGTTTTCAGTCACCTTGCATAGTCTTCACCTGCAGGGGCCCCTGGCCACTCCCTTGGGGAAGTGACCTAGGAGGTTCCCAGCCCTAGAGACCTCCTTCCGTCACAGCATGAGTTGCAACAGGGATTGTCTGTACCTCTCTCTTTTTTTTTTTTTTTTCTTAAACCCTTGTGAACAACTTATCAGGCCTTAAAGCCTTCCAAAGACCCACCAGTACCACATTTGGTCTTCCATTAATTTTTTTTCCCTAGAGATGTAAATCTATCCACATTTGCATCTGAGTGACATAGAGCTGTGCCTTTGTTTGGCTTTTTCTTTTTATCTGTTTTTATTTATTTAGCACCTTACAAACCAGGTTCACATGCTGTTCTAAATCATTCAGGTTTATTAAAGCCTCTCTACAAAGATCATGTCTTACCATGGGACTTATCAAAGCCACTAAAATTCCATCCCAGTCCAGAAGTCCCTCATATATCAACCTCTTTTTCAACTTTTGAATGGACAGTTTCATCTGGCCCAGTGAACTGGGCATCAAATACTGCCTCTTTTTATCTTTAGTTGTTTTTTAATTTTTTATTTTATGATATGGGTGTTTTTCCTGCATGAATAAGTTCACTTGTGTTGTACATTACCTGTTGAGGTCAGAAGAGGGCATCCTGGAACTGGAGTTAAGGACAATTGTTGGTCACCATGTGGATGCTGGGAATCCAACCCAGGTCTTCTGCAAGAGCAACTGGTGCTCTTAACTACTGAGCCATCTCTCTAGCCACAGCTATTTCAGTCTTAGATACACTTTTTTGTTTACTGAGATAGGGTCTCTTTGTATCCACACCTGGTTGGAACTTGCTAGATTGACCAGGAAGGCCTGGATGGCACAGAGATCCATCTGCCTCTCTGCCTCCCCAGTCCTGGGGCTTAGATACACTTTTTTTGTGTGTGTGTGTATGATTGCATTGCCTGCATGTATGTGAGTGCACCCGTGTCGTGCAATGCCTTGGAGGTCAGAAGAGGGCTTCGGATTCCCCTGGAACTGTAGTTAAGGGGGTACTGGGAATTGAACCCAGGTCCTCTGCAAGAGCAGTCAGTGCTCTTAACCACT